ATCTCATTTTGTCCATAACATTATTACATGTACGGGGAATGCAGATTTGATTTTAATTTAAAAAATCGTGGCATCCAACTACATGTACGCGTATCCGGCCCGCACGTCGCTTCAGATGGAAGACTACAGGTAGCCGCCTATCATGATGGATGTGTGAGTACCAGTGCTACCTGTGATCAAGGGCATTGGTCTACAATATGAAAATATGCACCTCGATCGCAATGGGTTTGAGCCCGCAGACATTTGTTTTTGCGGAGGATTCAACACACTCTACTAGCCTCGGTTCATTATTCCATTGGAATGATTGTTTTTGCTAGCAATATGAGAGCCGATATGTAGGTAGGACCCTTCAACATCTGGACGCACGCATCCGACAACACAAACCGATGCTTCTCGTTCCATAACACGTACGTTGCACGCAAACACGGAGGGGACGCCCACCAAAGAGTCATCCGGGTACAAAATAGTCCAGCACACTGGCACAAAAGAAACCAAGTTACTTCACAACCAACCATCCATTCGTGAAAGGGCAGTGAATCATCATCGGAAGTGCCCACGGATCTCAAGCTCCCAAGACCGCCAAATAAACAACGGGAACCCCCACTGTCTTGGCATTGACAGGAACGGAATCGATTGAAAAAGATGATGGAATCGGTAAGGGTGGCGGCAGAAGCATCTAAGGCAAAAAGATGATGGAATCGGTAACGGTGGCGGCAGCAGCATCTAAGGCATGGCGGTGTCAAAAGCTATGCTTGAATCCACTAGGCATTATAATTCGGAATTGTCCACCGCACATTCTGGTTGTCCTAATTTTAGGTCTGATAAGTACAATATCTGTCATTCATTGCTAGTCATTTGTTGCAGCATCCTGAATGTCGTGCTGGGTATTCAGATGCTTGCTTTTCTATGATGTCACGCGTACACAGTGAAAGTTCTTGAATGTTTTAGAAATAAAAAAGAGAGGACCAAAACTGGCAAAAGTTTACAAGTTATCCGTTTTGTCCCACACCAACGATCATACACAGGATAATAAACGTGCAACAATTAGCACAAAACTGACTGTTGCGATACCGACATTAAACGACCTGATGCTTAGCTTAACTTGTAAACTTTTGGTCCTCTCTTTTTTTAATTTTAACCTTTGGCTCTCCATCCGAGTTTAATGTCTTAGATGCTGTATAATTATGCTCTCAAAGGGTAAGCAGCAGCGCTCGGCCTGTGGAGAAGAGAAAACGAGAGAGTGATAAAACGTGCAATCTGAGATGAAACAGTGAACCCGACCCGGGCCGTGGGGTGAGGACATGAGATACAATGGGGCTATAGCACAGAATATTGGGTTTAAAAACAAAGGTGCCTCTGTGGAAGGTGTGGGTCCTAGCAGGTTCTAAATGTTACAGTGATAAGGAGTGATTGTAGACAGGGCCAATGTGAACTTGAAGTATAATATTATGTACATGTAGGTAGCAGAGTGCAGAGGGTGTGGGGTGGGAGCTAGGGTCCAGCGGTAGGCCTTGACGGATTATGCTAATATTTTCGTGAAATTATGCTTTTAGCATTGCTGAAAAAATTGCAGAATTATGCTATTTTTATGCTAAAAGTTACCATATTATGCCGCATTATGCTCACATATGCTGCTAATGCATAATGGTCTGCGCAAAATAACAAGGGAATTTTGTTGTAGAGGGCGTAGTACTGTAGAAGCAAAAGTTCAACGGGGTCAACGCATCGTCCGACCTAGCTACGAGTCCGACCATCACTGATTGTAGTGGACTAGTCGACTGGACATGTTATCAAGGGAGTCGTAAACCTACAACTTCCTAGTGCATCTACTTGTACTTGTACAACTGTATGGAATTTGATGCGAACAGGCGGATTATTACAATTTTATGCGATTCGTATGCAATTTGCCTCGAATTATGCGATTATTCGATTTTGGTAGGAATTATGCGAAAAATTATGCTAGCATAATCCGTCAAGGCCTATCCAGCGGATAATGCCGGCATTATGAGACTATCCGAGCATCAGAGCACTATGGAGTATTAGAAAGGAACAAGACGAGCATTATGAGGTTTGAGCGGCATAACGAGTTTTATCACTCCCTTAGTATTGACTCCCATAGATTTTTGCCATACCTAAGCAGTCAAATATTCCTGCATATTTCACTCCTTAGGGCTATATTGACTGCTTATATTTGACTGCTTAGGGGTTGCGCAGTTGAACGGTGCCTAGCGCAGCATTGTCACTGCATGAGTAGGTGGTGGTGCAACGGTTGTGCAATCATAAAACCGGGGATTCATGAGGTTATAGTTCTGGAATTTGAAATACGGACTGTTTGTCGTGATAAATCTAATATTGACTTCGTACTTGGTCAGTATAGGAAATAAAACCTCGTAAAAGACCTCGGCTTCGCCTCGGTCTTTTACTCGGCTTTTATTTCCTATATTGACCTCGTACTCAGTCAATATTAGATACTTATAGTGGATAATGGCGGGATAATATCAGGTTTTTGTCAACAATCGGCTAAAGCCATGACTCGGCATGAGGTGCAACGCCATGTATTGTACCGGCACATGACTTTGTGAATTTTGTAGACACATAACACATGTGCATTTTAGCACTAATGCTACATTTACCTGACTACATACATGTACATGTAATGCCATTGCTACATAAAGTCCTTACGTAGCAATGTAGTCAGGTGAATGTAGAGGTAGCATGCCCAACGTTGCAACGGAGGCTGTTATACACAAAATCCGTAACGATGATTTACGAGGAGTTCTTTTTTTAGAAATCATGGAGAACCATGGAGGAGACTAGACGTAAGTGTAGTGAATATCAAACAGACGAAGAGCAGTTTTCCTGTTATGCCATAGGCTCTGGCCATAGCATCTCTAGCGATGCTGAAGTAAACATTGATCCATAGATAAATTTGGACCTGGATGGGGGAGCGGCTATAAACAGAAAGAGCTTGTTCCAAATAACTGCCTTTGCCGAGTCCAGCTCAGCAGGCTTGAAAAGAACTAGAATTTCTCATGGACGCAGTACCAAGTCGATTTGAGTGCTCAGCAGCGCATGTCTTTCTTTCCTGGTGAAGCACGTACAGTTCGTCGTGGACGTTTGTAATACAAGGCCTACAGTCAAGTGCTATCAGAAAAGAAGAGTATTGTGGCCAATCATTTGTCTCCACGCAACCTCAGGAGAAGAAGACAGCGCAAGCAGAGGATGTGGAGCGGCATAAATAACTTCTGACCACGTGTTTTCAGGATTTCCGCAAATGGGAGGGATCTGAATCTGAGATCGTCTCTCAGGAACTGGCCCCACGTGAGCTGTTTCAGATGAAGACATTTTTCACAGTGTGGAAGCAGTAACAACTTGTCTGCAGGCAGGAATACCACTTCCCATGATAAGCTTCCAGCATCCAAATGATCACCAGCAATAATGGTTTCACCTCTCACTACATGGATAAGCAAGGTAAAAGATTTGATACACCCACTATTTAGCCACAGCCCTGCATCAAAGTTGCAATGGAGAGCAGCCAATGGAGACGCGATCATGTCTTATAGGGCTAAGAAGTGTTGGAGCTAGCCCTTTCCCAAAGGTGCTCGCCCTTTTTTCGCCCTTTTTGGAAAAGCCCGTTTCTTTCACCCTTTATTGCGTTTTTTTGGTGGATATCGCCCTTTTTGAGCTTTTTTAGCTGAAAAAGTGCTAAAATCTGTTTGCTCATGCATGCGATCACAGTTTCCGAGTCCTCGATGGGCCTTGGCACGTCGCTTTTTTGGGGGCAAAAAGTTGGTGAAGCTTGTACACAATGCTGTAAAAAGTGGGTTTCTTGAACTTTACTTCCTGTTTTGCCTTTCATGGACCCATTTAATGGAAGAATGCGTATTCATTTCTCAGCTTGGGTTCATATCTGAACATGTATCATGGCTATGCTTCACTGAAAAGGAGCACTTTTTCAGCATATTTTGAGGGACGCGAAAAGCACTAAGTGCACCTTTGGGAAAGGGCTAGTTGGAGCTCGTGAGAGATATTGTAGCAGCTTCAGAGGCAGTTCGACTAAATTCATCCTTTCCTGGAAGTTTGACAATGTGCAGCCTTTCTTCCATTTTTGTTCCGAACCAAGAGCATTATAGCTAGCCTTGTTGAAGCATTATAATCAGCATTACAAGGTAGTTTTTTGGAGCATCATGATAAGCATTATACGAACATTTTCAGAGCATCCGCTGGACCCTAGTGGGAGCTGAAAGTAGCCAAAGAGACACCATGGACAACACACTGGCCCAACAAACAACAGCAAACGTCCGAAGACTTGATGTAAGCTGTGTGTAGCGACCAACCAATGCTGCATAGAGAATCACAGTCTCTATATTATTTTAAACAGATGTTCTCTCTATTTAGGACTAACTGAATGCTGAACGACGGGTAGGTCCTGAGATAACTGACCTCTGAAGACAGGACTGAGGTGGTGATGCATGTGTCACTGGGTACAACATACATGTGCACTACCCTCCTAGTTGGGGGTTGGTTGGTTTTTATTTCACTTCGCACATTCAACCGGGATGACGACCCAATAAAATGACGACGAAGGCTTAGCCTAGAAGTGGCTATGGAAGAACATAGTAAAGGCTATGGAAGCACATAGTAAGAGAATAGGATACTAATAATTGCGGGGGGGGGGGGGGATTAACCGACCAACAAGCTACATTGTATATGTACATGTACATGTACATGTACATGTATGTGCTGGTGTTTCCATGGATACTGTCGGTTTACTGGTTCTGGCCAGGGAGTAGCGTTAGTAAAATACCATTTCTGCTCCCTGGTGCTGGCTGATCATTCCTTTATCCGTGAATCTACTCTCAGTCACAACTTATTTTTTACATAATATTGTAGACTTTTCCGTATGGGTCATAACCAAGGTGTATTGAGTAATGTACGCCAAGTCTAGAGTGAGATTACATCTGGTTTATATGAAGTAACATTCACTGGAGGGTGTACTCAGTGTGCTGACAGTGCCCAACACCGCAGAGGCGGAGCGCAATACACAGCATGACAAGGGCAATCAAGGCTAGTTAGTCGCTACTCTGAGTTTCATGCTTTTGCAACATGCCGGAATCTATGCTAGGAGAGGTGTTGGTGGGTCTTGTAGCACTCAGTGTGTGAATGTGGGGGCTGTGTAGGTTTCAGGAAGTATCATTTCATATCATTCAGTAGCCAGAGGCTGCATGTACATGTATATTAGCAAGTTGTACGGTACTCAAGAACTTTAGATCGAAAAAATACGAATTTAGAAAGTTATTGTCTTCTGCTTCTGATTGGGGGAATAACAAAAAAACTGTTTATTACTAGTGCGTACATGCACGTGTACGTGATGATGGCAATGGCTTCCAACTTCAATAATCGTAGATTGACAATTCTTACTAACCAACCCGACTGTGCACCAAAAGACAAGTGGTAACCAACCTACATGTACATGCATGCTTACTGTTTCCGCCTCAAAATATCAAGAAATAATGATGTGTCCAATTCATCTCTCTCTCAATTCGGATTCTCTGAATATAATCTACCCTATTTTATTGGGTAGAGGCAAAATCTCTTTTGTGACATAAGCGTTTTTTAGTCTAGATGAAGTGCATTCGCTGGTCAGCAAGTCATGGGAAATTATCAACAGCGGACGCTGTCACAGCACAGCGTTGGCTGGCTATTGACCGGTGATCGCGGCGTGGTCTTGAGGTCCATGGATCCACTTCTTCATGGTAGCCTTCTCCAGATGCGGCTTGGTAGTTCGCTGTTTCGGCGGCAGCGATGGTGGCTGGGCATCAGTATGTGCTGTATCTAGCTGCGGGGTCTTGGTCTTTGGCGGGAGAGGTGGTGGCTTTGTTGGCAGATCTGTAGGTTTACTGGTTGGCCCATCACTCATCAGTTTAGGAAGACCAGATAAGGATGGATCGGGGAATTGCTGCTGTTTTGGTCCGGTTAATATCGGAGGTTTGCCACCATTAGGAACCTGATGGCCGGGGAATAGGTTTTTTAAGCCCCAGGCCCGGGCATCGGGTACTGGGGGCATACTGCCTAGATCTGGAATGTTGACAACAGCAGCCGGTGGTAGTGGTGCTATGAAGTACTTGGTTGCCTGTGGCCGAGTCTGCTCCTGTCGACCTACAATGACATTGAGCTGTTGTCGTTGCTGTTGTTGTCCCCCTGCCATTCGTCCGTGATCCATTGCCGGGGCGCTGGCCGGTCTACTGGGCATTGCGTGTACTGAAGATGGAGGCGCTGGGTTACCGGGTGGGCGGCCCGGCTGTCCGGTCCATGGGTCAGTTTGTCCCGCGTGTATAGTGGCCCCTGGTGCTTTTGGTTTCTGCATAGGCATTTGTGGATTCGCAGGACGCTTGATAACTTGACTGGGCTTCTGCTGTTGCTGTTGTTCCTTTTGCTGCTGCTGTTTCGCTTGTTCCCGATCCTGCATGAACTTGTCGACCAGAGATTTCACATAAGTTTTGTTTACTAGAACATGCTTAGCTCCCTCGGGTCCAGTCAGGGAAGGAGCGCTGGGTGATTCTGCCTGCGTTTGATTTCGTTGTGGTTGCACAGTGGCCGTGGGCTTGGGCGTGGGTGATGATGATACGTTGCTCTGCTCGCCGGAATATCTTTTATGCGTTAACCCGCGCGGTTTTCCCCCGACAGATGGTGGAAGACCTAGAAATGGCACTTCCAGTCGCGGACACTGCATACCCGGTCTGACCACTGGCTGCTGCTTGTAATTCATGCAGCAAGTCTCGTTGAACAGGCCGTAGGGCTTTTTGGAGCCGCAACATGCGTGCGTCATTGTGTCATACGCATACTCGCTGCAGCACTCATGGTCCCGCAGATCGCCACTGACATGCGATGGCTTGTTGTTGCAGCAGAGGTTTTCGAACTTGGTGGCTACCTTGCTGCCACAGCACATGTCCGTCTCGGGCTGGTAGATCGTGTGGTTTCCGCAGCACTCCTCCGAGTTCAGCTCGTACGTTTGCCGGCCACAGCAGCCTTGTTCAGCGGTGTAGACCGGCTCTACATTGTCACAGCAACTCTCTACTCGAATGTCGATGGATTGCTGAGAGCAGCATTGGGAATGTCTGCGGTACAGAACAGGAGAAAAAGAAACATCACCGTCAGTACATTCATAACAGCTGCGCCGCTATGATCCATGGCTGCATCATTATCATTATCGAACTGCATACACCTTCAACAGCGGAGTAAGACTAAAATACTGTAGCAAGATAGAATCAATTCCCAACTCTACAGATAGAATTACTAGCACCCTTTCCCATTTACACCCAGATATGACTACGACAAATAGTCTTATCAGTCGTGTCTACAAGATGGAGAGACCTTTGATTTAGATCTAGCGCTTACCGTATTCCCCGAATATAAGTCGCACCTTTTTACCCTAAACATGAAGAGTAAGAAAGGGGGCGCGACTTACAATCGAGTGCGACTTATAATCGGGGAAACACGGTACATGTTTGCCAGGTGTACATCGGTTCAACACAGAAGCAGAAATACTAGGCTGCAGTTCGGACCAGTGACATTTAACCTGGTGATTAAAATAGCGCCGAAGACTACACAGGCCCAGCACCATCAACACTATGCTGTGCATTTGATTTGAACACTGGCACTACTTTTAGAGTCACAAAGTCGAATTTAACGGGTATCCTTTTATTATTACGAACTATACCGTAAGACGACACTCTAGAGTCGTCGACCTTATCCCTAGCAAGTTCGCGTCGCGCTTACAATATGTACACAGGAATTTTGCCAACACTTTCCATACAGAAAAACTCGCCTGCTCACGAGGAGGGGGACAGCACCATGGAATGGGACTTATGCCTGAGAATACCTTCTCAGGCATAAGTCCCATTCCATGGTGCTAATTTAAAATTTTTAAATTTCACGGCTCGCGTCAGACTCGGTTAGAGGCCGAGTTTTCCGCATCCGTAGGAACGCCACCGCCCTTCAAGGATCAAGGCGCAGATGCAGCTCCTAAAGCGGTGGGAGGTGAGGAGATCAAACCCACCAAAGTGGTCAAAGACCGAGAACCCCATTCACTGCATCCATGAGGAGGTATCGGACTCTATAATTAAGAGAGCATGTCTGAGAAAACCAGAACATATGTGCAAGTCGATCTCTCAGATTTCGCTCAAATTTTGCATGTAGGTTTGCTTTGGGGTGTAGATCGACATTCCAAAGCCCGCGCAAAATCTTTTGAAGGGAACCATGAAATTGGCATACCCCTCAATATTGGCCCAATATTGGCACGATTTATGGGTCTACAAACGAGCCACGGCACAGCGTACAAGAACAAGCTACGAACAAAACTCCATCAAGCCAACATTACCTCACCTTAGAAGAGTTCTTGGGGCAGCATCAATTAGCCACGCCAGCATCCCAGAAGACGAGGGCAATCATCCCTTGACGCCACAAATGATCGTCTTGAAAATAGCCAGATTACAAGCGCTGATAAAACAGCGAGCTACGTCCTCAATTAGCAAACACTATACACCGGCAGATAGTAGAACACCTCTTCTAGCACTGAGGACATGTCCCCCATCATCCTTTTTGGGTTTTCTTGAAATAAACAATTTTGAATTTTTCCACTCGACCATTCTGAAATACGTCCAAACTCATACCTGCGCAGGAAAGCTCGCCCCTCCGCGACGTCTGGTCAGTAATTTCTACTCCAACACCACTCCCAACGCTGCAGAACAAAGTGTACTGTTGACTCTGACAAGGAAAAGCAGCGGTGATCACTTGTCACTCCAAACGACAAGCTTCTCCTTGCGCCAGCAACATTTTTCGGTGCAACAGTTGATGCAAAAGTGACTGAATTTTTGCGTGTAGTTTTTGGATTTTACTGCAAGAGGAATGAAGAAATCATGTGGATCGTGACGTAGAACAATGCTTTCTGGTGCACGACACAATGCACACGATCACGATCGTTCCTGAGGTGCTATTCGAAACGGACCATGAGGGAGGAGGTAAGATGCATTATATTTCTTGCATGCTCTGATCAGAACATGCAGAAACTATCGTTATAGCGCTAGCAGTATTGCATTGGCAAGAATTCTTTGAGATATTTCCACCTGCAGTAAGAACAGGGATGCATTTTTTCACACTAACCTCGCTCATCCCGAACATGGTTCAACAGGAACTGCGGCTAGTTTACATGCTGATGATCCACGTAGATCTGCAACAGCAAGGAATGACTGTGGTCCATGCCATCAAGGTCGCTTGGAGTTGACCAGCGCGCGGCCTACACTGGTTGCATGGGGTATGTGGGGCGTCCACATGGCAGATTTTTTACGTCATTAACAACGTAATTTGACCCTCCTCGCCCTAGACTAGTCTCTGTGCTGCATGTTGAGGGAAAGTCCCGGCTGGAAGGCCTACAACACGACATGCGTGCTCTTGAGCTGGACATCAAGATGCACTTGATCCGATCTAGATCAACGGGTGATCCATGTAAGTGCAGGTGCGCTTGATCAAGGTGACTCGGAACAACTGCTGAACCGTGATCTACGAGACCTGGCATTCTTGTGTCACGAGGCACGCGTTTTCATCATTTCTCTTGCAGTAAAATCCAAAAAACTACACGCAAATATTCAGTCACTTTTGCATCAACTGTTGCACCGAAAAATGTTGCTGGCGCAAGGAGAAGCTTGTCGTTTGGAGTGACAAGTGATCACCGCTGCTTTTCCTTATCAGAGTCAACAATACACTTTGTTCTGCAGCGTTGGGAGTGGTGTTGGAGTAGAAATTGCTGACTAGACGTCGCGGAGGGGCGAGCTTTCCTGCGCAGGTATGAGTTTGGACGTATTTCAGAATGGTCGAGTGGAAAAATTCAAAATTGTTTATTTCAAGAAAACCCAAAAAGGATGATGGGGGACATGTCCTCAGTGCTAGAAGAGGTGTTCTACTATCTGCCGGTGTATAGTGTTTGCTAATTGAGGACGTAGCTCGCTGTTTTATCAGCGCTTGTAATTTGGCTATTTTCAAGACGATCATTTGTGGCGTCAAGGGATGATTGCCCTCGTCTTCTGGGATGCTGGCGTGGCTAATTGATGCTGCCCCAAGAACTCTTCTAAGGTGAGGTAATGTTGGCTTGATGGAGTTTTGTTCGTAGCTTGTTCTTGTACGCTGTGCCGTGGCTCGTTTGTAGACCCATAAATCGTGCCAATATTGGGCCAATATTGAGGGGTATGCCAATTTCATGGTTCCCTTCAAAAGATTTTGCGCGGGCTTTGGAATGTCGATCTACACCCCAAAGCAAACCTACATGCAAAATTTGAGCGAAATCTGAGAGATCGACTTGCACATATGTTCTGGTTTTCTCAGACATGCTCTCTTAACTAAAGACATTGAGCTCTTTCCCACAAACCTCTCTGTGTAAGTATAGATACTGTATAGGGTAGTAATGGGCACTTACTCTTTAGCAGCCGTCATTTGAACCACGTTCTTGTCACAGCACAGCTCCGTGTCAGTATTGAACGTAACGCCATTGCAGAGACTACCCGGATCAACGATCCCACTTGGAAACGCACCACCAAATGGCGAGTTGGTTGGCCGTGGTTGACCTGCGTTTCCTCCTTGCATTTGCCGACGAGGCAAGGCCTGGAAGCCTCCTCCGTATCCTCGCCGATTGCCCGGTATTTGGCCGAAATCACTGTTGTGCCTTCTGCCCGCTACGTGACCCGGTTTAGGCTGAAACTGGCTGGTGCCAGGAACTGCTCCACCATAGCCGGTGCCAATATATCCTGTAACGACGTAACCTGTGCCAGTGCTCACAGCTCCTCCGCCTTGCCCGGGAGCGGGTCCCCCGACGCTGCCTCCGCCGCCGCCCACCTGTTGCGATGTACCCGGCACTGGGCCCCCGTAGCCACCCGCTTGTGGATCGTGATGGCCTGTACCGGGTGACGTCACAAGTCGACTGTCGAAATGTCCTCCTGGTGTGGAGGGTGGCGCATTGGGCAGCGGTCCACCGAAACTTGGCGCTGGTTTTGCGCCACCTACTGGTTGTCTTGGTGCTGTCGGAGCGCCACCGAAATGATCGCGGCGATCTGGCAGTACGCCTACATCCGGGGCGTGAGTACGGTTGCCTAGAGTGTTGGACTGTCCACCAGCCCGGGCATCATAATCAGGGTGTGAAGAACGTGATTTCGATGGTGGTCTAGGTTGATTACTACCGTTATTATGTGCTGGCAAGCGATCTCCGAAACCAGGATCTGCAGTGCGATGTCCCTGACCCACGGTCTGACTCTGGCCTCCTGCACGTCCGCTAGACGCTGGAGCGCTGGTCGGATCTGTACCCCTGCTAAAGCCGGGGTCAGGATCCGGGTGCCGGTGACCGGGGTCAGCTGCTGCACCTCCACGTCCTGTTTGCCGTCCTGGCGGTGGCCTGAAATCAGGACGGGCATCGGGAACAGGTCCCCCGTATGCACCACCTCCCGGCTTTCCAGTAACGGTGTCGCGACTACTGGGTGCAGTAGGTTGCTGAATGTGTGAAGGATCTCGTCCCGACGGAATCTTACCACCATAACGTTGCTCCTGGGCTCCACCACTGGGTCCAGCATCAACTGGTGCTTTGTCAGCGGGGCGTGATGCCGGACGTCGCTTGTAGTCTTGTTGTCGCCCTGCATCAGGATAGCCGGGATCTCTGCCGGTGTCGCGATGCGTATGTCCGGGGTCTTGGCCACGTCTCGGAGGTGGATTGGAACTAAACTGGGAGTCCTGATGTCGTCTTCCAGCCCCAGCACCACTGCGATTGTGAGCAGCACCACTTTGCCTCTGGTCTGTGGCAGGGAGGCGAGCATCGCCCGGGTATTGCCCGGGGCCTGCATTCATATCCCGTCCCCTGCCTGGCGTTCTGACGGGATCTTTCGGGTGGTACCTGCCACGACTTGGGACATCTCTGCGAGGCGGTGGGTCCATGCCGGGTCCCATGGTTCCCCCGTAGTTTGCCTGGGGTGGTTCAGTCGCAGATACATCAGTAGGCCTAGCATCCCCTGCAGGCCTGCGTCTACCACCAGATACTGGATCACGTCGAGATGGGTCGCGAGTACCTCCACCACCACCACCACCACCCGAGACACCTGATCTGTCTCCTTGTGCTTGGCCTCTGCGTGGGGCATCTCGCATCGCGTCCTGCGATCGTCCAGCTGCAGGCGGTGCACCGGCAGAGGGTCTGTGCCTGCGATCCTGGCCCGAATTCCAGGAGGATGGTGCTCGTGTGTCCTGCGGACCACCATGATAGCTAGAGTCGTGAGTGGAGTGGCCAGGGTCTTTGGGGCCTCTACTCGTTATGTGATCTCTTGCTGCAGGAGCTGATGGATCACCTGTATTGTGCTGATGAGCATGCTTGTCACCTTGGCGTCTGCCGTTTCCCACTCCTGGATCGACGAAATCAGTGTGTCCACCACCTCTTCCACCTCCATTTCCAGGACCTGCTGGGGGTCCCCCTGACGGGGGATCCTGCCCATGATGTCCCCGGTCAGCGGGCAACGGATCCCGGCGGCCAGTTGCGCGTCTTCCATCGCCTACACCAGGATCAGGGTGTCCTGGGTCAGGTCCTCTATGGAATCCAACGCCACCACTATCACCTCTTCCGCCACCTCCTCGACCACCTCCACCACCACCACCAGCACCTCCACCAACACCACCACCACCACCACCGCCACCACCACCGCCACCACCACCACCACCACCACCACCACCACCACCATCACCTCTGGCGCCTCCTCGAACACCACCACCACCTACACCACCACCACCACCACCTGCAACACGCTGGTTCCAGCTGTCACTCGGAGCGGACGGGCCTCCTCGCCCAGCATATCCTCGATTTCTCTGTCCTCCATCCCCACGGATCGGCATGCTCGGCGGCAGATCAGTTGGAGGTGACGGTGTTGTGGGAGGCTCTGAGGTTGTTTTTGGAAGGAGAATATCTTTGTAGTAATATCCGTTGGCGTTGGGTTGCTGCACTACAGTGTCTGAAGGCGTGGCAAAGCCGTTGTTTCTGTAGAAGTGATGGGGCACACCAAAGGCACCTTTCTTGCGTCCGGTTGGACGCGTCCCGTCAAACGGGCTAGTACTGCCTATCACGGAAGGTTTCAGCGGTTGCTGACCTCCCCCTGCTGCTTGTTGTGGCGGTGGCTGCGTTGGTGTCAGCGGCTGCTGTGGTTGGCTTTGAACAGCTCCAGAGTCGAATGGCAGATTGCGCTGTGGCGTATTGTGAGGTTGTCTCTGGCCGTGCGCTGAGTCGACGAGCAGCAGCAACAGCGGCAAACAGAGCAGAGACAGAGACCACCAAGGAAGCATTATCATATCGGCCAAGGCACCACAAGTTGGTTTGTGAGGTGTTGCGGATGATCAGCAGCTCACTAAGCAGACTTCAAAACTAGGAACGCACCAAAAACTATTCCTGAATATCGAAACCCAACGGCAGCATAGCTATTTTGGCATCTTCTTCGATGACCTTGATGATGAAGATGACGGTGATGGTCAGGCTGCGACCTGCATTTCTCTCATCTTTCCATCACACTGTTCTAAAGAAATCAACTTGTGCAAAATACTACACTGCAATGAAACTGAACTGCCACTTTAAGCCGAGCAACCGCCCGATGGCAATTGCTTTGCTTTCGCTTTCGCTTTCCAATTGATCCGCCACGCGCAGACTGCAGTAGTAGATGAAGACGCCATTCATGCTGGTATTCTCCTGTCACGACGCCCTTACGGCCTTAGTGACCCCGGCATGACTTCGTGCTTCTGCAGCCAGAGACTGTCTTCGTCGAGCGTCACTGCCTAAACGCCTGTCACTGGTTGCTGCCCAAACGGGAGCGTCAGCAGAAAGCCAGCTGTCATCTAGCTGGCCGTGGTCACCGCTCGAATTGCCAGAGCGCCTCAGAAATTCAGGGCAGCAGGGACACTGGCCTGGCTGCTCCATCTTCCATCCAATACCTACATGGCTCTTAGGTACATGGCGCTGTGGGCTGCAGCTCAGCCTCAGTCGAGACTGCTAACCGGAGGTTAGATGGGCCCCGTCCTAATCACAGGCTAATGGCAATACCCTCATCGGGCCTACCTCGCTAAGCCGATCTCGGGGAAGGAAATAATAACTGGCATACTGACCTTGACGTCGAGCAAGGAAAATCCAATTGCGTTTGCCAGCGCTCAATGGTCAGTACATGTAGTTGATGGAAAGGAGAGAGTTATGTGTGCTCTATCGAGCGTGCCGCGATGTGATGGCAATATCGGCGTTCCATCTTGTAAGTGCGAAAGGTGAAATTGACGGGCACCTCACACCTGCAATGCCACGTCACGTGGGCTCACTCACAGAGAATGTACGTTCTAGTCCCATTCTTTTGGCTGAAGTCTACTCGCTGAACTATGACGAGTACAACCATGTTTCCTATGTGCCCTACATGAATTCAGTCGCTGGACAATCGTGATACAAGAAGTACTGAATATCCACCGGATGCACTACATCAGTACATGTACGTGTACACCCTACGCTGGCCACTGGCCACTGCCAAAGCCCGGTAAAAGCCCGGCACTAACCCAGAGAATCCCGCTTTGTAGTTTCTTTTAGTGCTTAAAGGTTACACTTCCTACGGAGCCCTCAAGCGCCAGCTGTGTATACACAGTGATGAAACGCAATTCCCCAACACGGATCCGCCGAGCAGGCTGGCTGATGTAGAGGCACGCCTGCAATACCCAGCTCCTTTCATCCTCCAATCCGCGACCGCCCTTTGCTGTCATTGCACGCAATGGGAGGTGGCCTTGTCTGAGCCGTCTAATGGGATGACAGACGTGCACACAAAACACGTGAAGCCCATCTGTGAATATTAACAGAGCTTGAAGGTTTCATATGTCAAGCAGGTTTTGTTCCTTCTTTCCCTCGGGCCAGTTTGGAAAGTGCAGGAAGATAATTAATCTTTGTAAATCACACGATGCGGGATGCACACATTACGCTCAGGGTGACCGCATGCCTGATGATTGTACTGAGCATGAAATTCAGACCTGCCACCAAATAGCCTTGTTCCGCTGTCTTACTGTATTGTATATAAATAATTATAATACTATGTGATGATCATGGCTATACCAGTAACGACCTAACCATGGCCTCCGTGCAATGGCCCCCGTGCCTTGGTTAGGTTTTGTAGACCATTACTCAGTACTACTGAAGTAGAAAATTGTGGCACCATAATAATTATATCGTCAGGGCCGCAGACACGGAAACATTTCAACTTCCTCTGTTGTCGAAAGGCCGACCTTATCACCTGTATGCCTTTCTTCGTCAGTCGAGTGGGCATCTTGCAGACACGCTGGTGTCTATAACGTGTTGGTGAGTGGTCCATATGGCTATGGGATGTATGGCTAATACATGTATATTCAGACTCCGTTAGGCTATGGCAACTTGATGGATGCATGTGTTGCTTGTTGGCCTACCACTTATCAGGAGTTAAGAAATATGTGATCCTCCGCAAGAATCTTTGCACATTTAGAAGTACTACTTGGCCAAATGGACTTCATGTTTGTGGAGGTAGGCACGCCAATCATGATAGCTTCGAGCACTCCTAGTTAAATCCATGGCTAAATGTCACATAGGCTGTATAGTATACTCTAGAGTGAGGTAACTTGGTATCCTTCGCCTGACCGCATGGAGCGAAGGGTAACATTGATAGGTGATTTCACGGATGGCATCCCTTGGTAACTTATCCTTAGTTATCGACTCTGTCCAATGACGTAATGTTAATCTTAGATCGATCGAGCTTAGCAGATTTGCAGAAGTAGCAGGATATGGTGCCATACTCGAGAG